AGTCACCAGAGTGACACCATTGCTCTTCAATACTTTGGAGAGGTCCCCAACAGCAGACTTTCCCATAGCAGTACATCTTTTAATTTACTGGCTAGTGGTGCCAAGAGTATTGATTGTGGAGCCAAGCAAACTAAAGCTGTGAACAATCTCAATCTCGTCACCATATATCCTGATGCTGTTAATTGGTCCAGTGGTGAGAATCTTTGTCTTCTTGGCATTGAGCTTCAATCCATATTGACAGCTGCAGTCCTTGACCCTCTGTAGCAAGCGCTTCAGGTCCTCCTCAGTTTCAGCAAGCAGGATTGTGTCATCTGCATAACGCAGATTGTTGATGGATCTTCCACCAATCTTGATGCCACACTTCTCCTCATACAGCCTGGCCTCCTGGATAATCTGTTCTACATACAGGTTGAAAAGGTGTGGAGATAGGACACATCCCTGGCATACACCCTTCCCAATTTTGAACCATGCAGTGTTTCCTTGCTCTGTTCTGACGATGGCCTCTTGGTCCCAGTATAGGTGTCTCATTAGCACGATCAAGTGTTCTGGGATTCCCGTTCTTCTCAGAGTCAGCCACAGTTTGTTATGATCCAGTGTCGAATGCCTTTGCATAATCAATGAAACACAGATAGACATTCTTCTGGTATTCCCTGCTTTCAGCTAAGATCCATCTAACATCAGCTACAATATCCCTAGTACCACGACCCCTTCTAAACCCAGCCTGGACTTCTGGCAGTTCTCAGCTGATGTGCCATCACTTGTTATGCATCAGAGAGTTGGACAATGGCTAGAGAGGATAGAAGGAGAATTGTTGCCTTTGAGCTTTGGTGCTAGAGAAGAGTATTGTGTGTACCATGGACTGCTAAGAAAACAAACAGGTTCACCCTATGAAGAGGGAGCACTGTTGGCTTCGGATTGAGAAGCTGTGCTGCTATCTCAAGGGTTTGAATCTCCCTTTGTTAGAAGGATGCACAGTCTCCTCCTATGTGATTTACTGTCTCTTAAACGCACTCAAGGTCAGCCAGAGGTCAGTTCTGACTCAGTGGCATGCAACCACGGCAGCGATGTGGACACGGGCATGGACTGGGAGTGATTTCTCTCTAGAGAAAGTGGAACGGCTTCAAAATCTAACAATTGTTTCTTAGCACAGCACAGCGCAGGTGTGTGTATATCAGTTACATAATACACCATGCTGGGGGCAGTGATTGTTGCCGTCAGACGTCTTCTGGTTGGCTCAGACTCGGGGTGGCTGTTCGCACAGCAGTGAAATGCTGTCCGTCCCCTTGACAGGGTGCCAGTTGGATCGTTGTGATCTGTAGGGGTTTCATGGATTTATTTTCAGAAATAGATCTCCAGGCCATTCTTCCGAGTCTTAGTCTGGAAGCTCCATTGAAGCCTGCTCAGCACACAACAGCAGCACACAGGCCTCCACGGACAGCAGGGTGGTGTCTGTGCAGGAGCTGGGCTGGTTGGGAAAGGAAGCCCTCGTGGAGTCTGAGCATTTGAACAGTAAAATGGAAATGCAGTGCTCAGTTTGAATGACGAAAACACCTGGAGTCTGTGCTCACTGCTGGAAGACGACCTTGGAGTCATTTTCTTAAGCACAGGTGTAGAAGGGAGTCAGATGCTTGCCGAGCTGCAGGGATAACGAGATGGCAAGCTGAGGCTTTTTCTATTAGTAATTTAGACTACCTGTGCCCCGGCTAAGTCCTGGTGGTGCAATTGTCAAGATACTTGGCTGAGAGCCTCAAAGTCAGCAGTTTGTTTGGGGTAGGGTTTTTTGATTGTGTTTGGTTTGGTTGTTTGTTTTTGTTGTTTTTGCATTCAATGTAGGCTTGTTGTTACGTGCCATCAAGTCACCTCTGACTCATTGCGACCCTGTGTACAACAGCTCTGACTCCTGCTCTAGCCTGTGCCAACCTTATTGTCGGTGACACATCCACCCCCCTTACCCCAGTCACTGAATCAGTCCATCTCATCAAGGGTCTTCGTCTCCTGCGCTGTCTCTCCACCCTCCCAAGCATGACGGCCCTCTTCAAGGACTGGTCCCTTCTTGCAACATGTCCAAGGTGTGTCAGACAAAGCTTCAGAATCCTTGCCTCTGAGGAGCAGCCTGGCTTCACCCTCTCCAGGACAAACTTGTTTGTTCTCTTAGCAGTCCATGGTATATTCAGTACTCTTTTTTCAGCACCAGAGCTCAAAGGTGTCAATTCTCCTTCTGTTATCTTTAGTCACTGTCCAGCTTTCTGATGCATAGCAAGCAATTGCAAAGACCATGGCCTGGATAAGGCTCACCTTAGTCTTCCGACTGACATTGTTGCTCTTCAGTACTTTGGAGAGGTCTCTGCTTAGTTTTAGATTATTTTATTTATATGTACCATCTATTACTGGAAACAGGAGTGGCATCCACTTCCTAAACAACAAGCTTCTGGAAATTCTATGAACTTTGAGAAATGAAGATAGTTACAGAAGGGCTTGTTCATAGGGTCACTATGAGTCGTGCTTGACTTTACGGCAATCAACAACAACAACATTTACCACAGGTTGCCTCTGTATTTATAGGGAATGCACTAGTGAAATCCCACTAACAACTCTTAAGTAACCAAGGAAATGTCTTCTTTATCAGGCCGTTCCCTCTCCCCCATCTGTTTACACATTAGAGTAATGGTTTTATCCCTAGTCTTCTGGTAGACCCTTTGAGACTATGTAAGGGCTGGGAATGTGAACCCACTAGCCCGCCTGTGGGAGGAAGCCTAGTCAGTCTGCTGCTCTGAGATTCTCAGCCTAGGAACTATATGGGCTTTCTGCCCTCGTTTATAGGGTCAAGGTGCGTCATGGTGTGTGGAGTGTTTTGATGTGAGCATGGATGTGAGTATCTGTGATGGAGCAGTACGCGAGATCCCAGAGACAGACATCAGCTCAGTTGTGTTGACAGTTGACCCCAGTGGTCCAAGAGAAGTGTCCATTAAGACCTTTTCCATCCCAGGTAGAAAAGGATACAAGACAGATGCTCTTGAGTTTCCTGAGCTCCATGTATTTACTTGCCATTCTTCTGCTCTTCTGATTGTTTTATCAATTGTGCATGTCACGAAGTAAGAGGAAATGAAACCTCGTCAATAAAGACTGGGTTAGCGGATAAAGTCACCTGGAGAAGATGAGGTGAGGGAGTGTCTGGTTAATGATCTGTCTCCAGGTTTGTCAGTGGACTGGGTCAGGGCTGAAGTGCTCGGAATGTGGTCTCTTCACCCATGTGCTCCAGTGACTGGCCATCACTTTTCAGATGTCTGGCCGCAGTCTTGTATGAGATGACTTGAGAGTCCCCACTGGTCCTGGGAGGGCGGCCAGAGTTGGAAAGATGAGTAAGTGGGCCTCCTGGCAGATGGGCCGCGCGGCTCACGACTGCCATCTAGTGGCAGTGTGCCTACTTAGACGGCAGCTCCTTGAGAACACTGGAACCAGGGAGGGCTGTGTCACCCCAAAGTTGGCAGTTTAAGTACGTAAGCCGCTCCATCGGAGAACAGTGGGTAGTCTCCTTATGTAAAGAGTTATATGCCGTCGAATCATCTGAGACTCATAGCGACTCTGTTCAACAGCCCTAAACTCTGCTCTGTCCTGTGCCAATCTGTGTCTGATACACCCATCCCGATTGCCCCAGTCACTGAATCAATCCGTCTCATAGAGGGCCTTCCCCTCCTGTGCTGTCCCTCCACCCTCCCAAGCATGATGTCCTTCTCCAAGGACCGGTCCCTTCTTGCAACATGTCCAAAATATGTCAGATGAAGCTTCCTGTAAAGAGTTACAGCCTCAGAAATCCAATAGACGGGTTTTGAGTCAGAACTGACTCAGCTGTGGATTTTGGTTGGTTAACTAGACTGATTGCTGCCAGATGCCAGGAGGTATGGGCTTATGAATTTCTGCTTTGACTTGCTTGTAGTGAATTATTAACCAAAACCCCCCATAGCTGTCAGGTTGATTCTGATGGTGACCTCATCTGTGTCACTCCACAGGATTTTCCATACCTTTTTGGGGGGCATAAATCCTTAGGATTTTCTTTAGAGATGTCTCTGGGTCCATTTGAACTTCTAGTCTGTACCTTTGTTTCATAGAAAACCCACCTGAAGAAACTCAGGGAGGAGAAGGTATAAAAATCCAATGCCATGATTTTACGGTGATTTTTTTTTTTAAACTTGCAGAAAAAAATTATGCTCAGTTTAATTTTGCTTGGCACAAATAGTGACTGACTTATTTACTTCAGAGTAAGGAAGAAATTTTAGAAACAGTTTATATGATTATAATGCAACCAAATTCAGTAATATTGGGATATAATTGATTTTTAGAATATATATCTTTATTCTTCTATTATTTTTTTTAAATGTTTCTAAGGACGTAGTCCTGAGGCTCCAGGCCTAGCACCCCATCATCTCAGAGTGTTTGGTTATGGCTAAGAAGTTTGCATAACTTTACTACCTGTTGTTTTTACCATATATAGAGAGGGAATTCTGGTGGCGTAGTTAGTAAGGAGTTGAACTGCCAAGCCAGGGATGGGTGGTTCTCCCAGGTTCTCCGTGGGAGAAAAATGGGTGGTCTCCGTATGAATTCTAGCCTCTGAAAACCCACTGGAGGGTCAGCTATGAGTCATTTCCAACCCAATAGCATATAACAACACAACACAATATATACATACGTGTAAAGCATGTACTAACATCTGGAGAACTATCATCTGAAACACCGTCTGTGGTTTTGAGTATAGTTCTTTTCACTGACCCCTTTCTGTTTTCTTACTGACCTTTGTTTTTATGTGGATCCAAACAAATGGCTTTGGAACCACTCAGGTTGAATTGATTCGAGCTGTGCTGCTTACTAAGTTGACAGTAACTTGGGCTTAGCTTTTTGCCATTCTTGTTGTTGCCAGTCTCTGACTAGCAGGTAAGTGTAGTGCATTTAAACATTTGTTCCAGTGTTGACATGTGAATAATTTTTGCTTAATTGTTTTTTAACAGGGACCTCCGAAATAATCTCATTAGCAGTATAGATCCAGGCGCCTTCTGGGGGCTGTCGTCGCTGAAAAGATTGTAAGTGTTTGTGTTCCTTGCTTATGAGTTTCAGCTGTTCCTTTTATGAGTTTCAACTGCCCCTTTTATAAGTAGTTATTAACCTACATTGAACTTTATTTTAACAGGATGAGAAAATGGATATTTAATATTTTTACAAGTTCTCTTGGGTAGGTCCATGACAGAAAAACAAAGAGAGTGTTTCTCGTAGAAGACTTCATTGTTGTGAGGTGCCAGCGAGTAGCCTTTGACATATCAGAGACTGCTCCAAACAACAGAAGGAAGTCCTGCCTGGGCCTGTAACTTGCTCTCAGTTGTTGCTACGTTAGAACCCATTCTTGCAGCTATTCTCTTAGAGCATCCTCCTCTTTTTTGAAGGCCCACGTCCACTTCCTAAGCAACACGCCTCTGGAAACTCCATGAACTTTGATAAATGACGATAGTTATAGAAAGGCTTCAGGCTTTTTGTTCATAGGATCACTATGAGTCGTGCTCAACTCAACAGCAATCATCAACAACAAGAACTTCTTTACCAAGCAAGCATGATTTCCCTCGCTAAGGACCAACCCCTTCTGATAACATCCCCACAGAATGTGACATAAAGTCTCACATCATTGCATTTAAGGTATATTCTGGCTATCCTTCTTCAGAGATGGATTAAATGAATTCTTCTGATAATCTGAGATACAGTTAGTATTTTTTTCCCCCAACATAATAATTCAGAGGCATCCATAATTCTTTTGTCTGCCTTACTCATGGTCCAGTTTTCACATGCATATAAGATGATTGAAAATATTATGGCTTGGACCAGCACCACTTAAAACAGAAGTCTTTTTTTTTTTTTAACAATTTAAAGAGCTCTGTTGCAGGAGATTGCCAGCACAGTCCATTGTTTGATTTCTTTGCTAGTTTTCTCATCAGCATTGATTGTGGATCCAAGTGAAATGGATTTTTTGACAGCTTCAACACTTAACTTTATCTGATACTTACTGGTCCAATTAAGATATTTCTGTGTCCTTGATGTTGAAGTGTAATACTGAAGGCTGTATATAGTCTTTGGCTTTCATCAATAAATGCTTCGAGCCCATTTTCCGCACAAGTGGTTATGGCAACTGCATATCACAAGTTGTTGGTGACTTTTTCTGCAGTCTTCATGTCTCATTCTTCACATAGTCCAGCTTCTTAGATTATTTGCCCAGCATATAGGTGGAATGGGTGTGGTGAGAAGACAACCCTGACACACACCTTTCCCTATTTTAAGCCACACAGAATCCCATTGCTCTGTTCAAATGACTGCCTCTTAGTCTATGTACAAGTTCCACATGAACATAGTTAGGCCTTCTATAACTCCTATCCTTTGCAGTGTTATTCACAGTTTGTCATGATCCACACAGACTAATGCGTTTGCATAGGCAATAAAGCACAGGTGTAAACACCTTAGAAAGGGATTAATTTATACAGTATATGTAGTAAATTGATTAGTTTGGTGTATCCTTCTAATGCCAACAAAATTGATACTGTATTGGCTTTGTCAACAGTCTGTAGATAGATTATTTTCCACACAATGAATCCATTAAACTCTGTTGTAATTGCCATATAAATTGAAGTGCTTTGCTACCAGTGATTTAAAGTCTTGACAGTTGCATATTCATCTTATCTGTAAGTCAAACTCAACTCATTTCAGCAAGAGTGACTTCAGTGTAGTCACAATGCTAAGCCAGTGATTAATACCATGTGAATTCGGTAAAAATTTGAGTCTTAGCCGTGTGCTTAGTTGTGAGCCAGACTCTAGGACTCAAGAGGTAAACCAGGCACTCCCTCTCAGCTTGCTGTGTAGTGAAGTCAACCACATCAATGAAAAGCCTGCATATGAACACTTGTGTACCATCGAGTCAGAACCGATCCATAGCCTCCCCTCCGATGGGTTTTCTCAGGCACTTAATCACACGGAAGGAGATTGTCCATCCTTCTCCCATGGAACAGCTGGTAGCCTTGAACTGTGTGCCTTTGGGATTGCAGCACGGCTTCTTGACACTAGGCCCCCAGAGTAGCAATCTAATTATAAAGTGTTAAAGGAGCAGATGCATTGTGGAGGTGGCTGAGGCTGACTTCCACCCACTTCATAAAGCGGAACTGTCTTCAGCAAATCCGTACCACCAGACAAATAGCCACATCATCCCATAGGCCACCCCACATGCTTCTGCACCTATTTCTACCAATCGTTGAGTCCAGTGTTTATTGCACCTTGAATTATAGACTTTATTTGCAGTTGTGGAGTTTATTAGAAAAATAGATTAGGGAGTAGGGGAGGCAAAGATTATCACACAACATAAGCCCACGTTTCAAAGAATACCACACAAATGTAAGTCCTGGTGTAGCCAGATTAACAAGGCATGGTTCCTCAGTGAAAGTCCAGGTTCAGTTCAGTAGCACAAACGGAACTCTGGATTCCTATTCATCCAGCAAACTTTATCTCAGATAAATGACAAATCAGCTTTTCCTTCAGGTATCCAGCAAGCAAAATCTTTAACTGTGGTTCCATCTCCAGGGTTCCTCTGGCTACACCTTGCCACAGTCTCTTCACAGCAGTGCTACAGCTTCTTCACTCTCTCTCTACCACTATTTTTCACATTTTGGAAAGCACACTCTTACATTACTCCTACAGCTTTTGATGGTTTGCAAGACCATGTGTCTGCAGTTAAGTTAGCTCAAGACTGTGCCCCCAACAGGAGCTAACAAAATGGATAGAAAAGCCAATTTTCAAGGTTATTGACAGAACACACACAGAGGGCACTAGCTAGAGTTGAGCTGCTTGGAGTGTTGGTAGCTTTTAAGACTCAGCATTACATACTAGATAGGGATGTGGCATATAGCCAGAAAAATGGGATACAATTCCAGAAACAGGGCTGTTAGGAAGTGCAGTTTGATTTACAATAGAGTCACATTTGTGATGTTTCTCACCAGAAATTAACCGTCTCTCTCTGTTGAGATTGATCAGTTTGTACTGGTGCCTGAAAATGGGAATTTTCAAGTAGGAAGAACCACAGAGTATTGTTAAACCGACAGACAAAACCCCATTCTGTCAAGTTAATTTTGACTCAGGATTAATGCTCCATTGGGTTTCTGATAGGAAACTTCTTTGGAGAGGTTGGATTTGAACTGCCAACCTAGAACCACCCTATCCTTCCCTTTAGGAGATTCTGACATGGCTTACTGGGTAAGGAGTTTCCTTGTCTACCAAAAGGCAGATAAGTTTAAATCCAACAGTTACTGTTCAGGAGAAAAATGGACATACTCCTCCCCTGCAACTTACAGCCTCTGAAAAAAATCTAAAAATCACATGGGAGGAGATTACCTGTCTTTCTCCTAAGGAGAAGCTGGGAGCTCAAACCATGTGCCTTTGAGTTGGCAGCACAGCTCCTTAACCTCTAAGCCACCAGAGACCTTGTTGATCGTAGGGTTGCTGTAAGTCTTAGTTGTGCCAGCAGCACCTCACAACAATAAGAATTCTCAGGAAAGAAAGTAGGAAAGGAGTAAACTTGACATGGTTATGAGGAAATAAGAGGAGGTCTGTTTAGGTCCTTTGCTCTGTGTCGTCCTGCACTGACGGGGATTAGATTGCACAGGGCGTACGACACCCACATAGTTACCTGCAGACCACTGAACAAAGTTGTGTCACAGGCAGTAAGATTGGCCGGGCTCCAGCGTTTTGATTCATGCTTCCTTGTGGGTAATTTTGCAGAAGTAAAAGTTTAGTGCTTTAGAATACAAGGTGCACTGCAATTAAGCAGCGTTTCATCTTGAGTGTACCAGAGGTAAGCAAGGACAACGTAGCTCCTCAGTGTCATCCTGTCTCCTGTGAGGCTTAGGAGAAGATCTCAAGACATGTGAAAAGAGCGGGTGTGATACCTGTGTACTCTTTTTGGATCGCATATGGTTGTGCTTTGTTAACAAAGAAAACTAATCGTGGCACTTTCTCCCCTTTCCCCTCAGGGACCTGACGAACAACCGAATAGGATGTCTGAATGCAGACATATTTAGAGGACTCACCAATCTGGTTAGACTGTAAGTATATCCTTCTTCACACAGAATGGAGCATTAGGACTCGTTCTCAAAGATTTGGGAACGTCTCCAAGAAGTGGGAGCTCTGGTCGCCTAGTGGTAAGATGCTGCACTGTAATCCTGAAGAAAACAAGGTTCAAATCCACCAGCGTCTCCACGGAAGAATGGACAGTTTCCTCCCGTGTGATTAACAGCCCCTCAAAACCTGCTATAGTGTCAGCTATGGGTTGGTTCTGACTCAACAGTGCACAGTAACAACAACAACATGATATGTGGAAGGAAGCTCTGGTGGCCTAGTTTATAGTATATTTTGTTGATATTCAAAAGGCTTCACATCTTGAATCTACCAGTGGCTCTGTGGGAGACAGATGTACAGTGGAGGGAGAGGTGAATAAAGGAAATGGGCAAGATCTGGTGTGAAAAACCATGTGTATGAACTTTGTAATTAAACCAGTATAAAATAAAAATTTTGTTAAAAAAAAAAGATTTACAACCTCAGAAGCTTGATGGCAGATCACTATGAATCAGAGTTGACGTGACAACAGGGAGTTGGAATTTTTGGTGAAACGTTGGAGGAGCCCTGGGGACATAGTACGTCAGAAAGGCGGTAATCTTAGAAAGCTTATGGACCTGTTCTGCTCTATCTTTATAGGTTTCTATGAGTTGATAGTGACTAAATGGCAATGCATTTGATTTTTCTTGTTTTTATCATCTGTCTAATAGTAAAGGAGCAACTCTAGGTTTCGTAGAAACGATACAGTATAGGAGTCTGCAAGTAATCTGGTCATATAATGCCCACACACACTCTTGTCTGTCTCTCTGTCTCCCTCACACACACACACACACACACACACACACACACACACTCTCTCTCTCTCTCTCTCTCTCATACAATCTCTCTCTCTCTCTCTCTGGCATAATATACACAGCAGAGTACATGTTCATGTTGATACTTAGGCTCAAGGCCTCATTAGTCTTGGGAATCTTCCTGGAAGAGGACAGACATGAAGTGAGGTGACGAAAGTTTGCAAAACTTTGGATCTTTACAAATAAAAAAAAACACCAAAAAACTGAGCAAATACTTAGAGGTGGAACTGAGGCCAGATCTGTTTGACAATGAGAAAGGGATACAGTGACCATTTTTTAATCTTGTCTCTGGCCCTGTGCTTGTGAGGGAGTTCTAGAACTTTTCCAAGTGTTTCTCTTTTTTTTTTCTGTTAAGTCAGTTTAATAGGACCTCAAGACTGTCTTCAAGATCCACCACAATCTACATGATCTACATCTCTTATCTCTGTTTTAATTTGTAAATGATATAATAAAAATGAAAGAACTTGGTATAAGCCCTCACATAGTTTTTCTTTTTAGCTGCTTGTAAGATCCTCTACATGATAGTCACAGGAAATCAAGCTGATTATCTGAAGTAGAGGTTTTCACCAATATGTTTAAAAAGCAGACAGGCGCTTAGAACTGACTGGGTGACAGGAAACCACCGAAGGCCTTTTATGTGGGAAAAGGGCATTAAATCCGGTTCCAGGGAGGGCAGGCCTTCTGGCTGTGGTTTTCAGAACTGGAGGGACTTCAGTTCAAAGATCTTTGGTGAGACAGTTTCCTGTACCTATTATATTTTTCTGTGTGTGGCTCCTTAGAATGTGATTTCTGTTTTCATTCACATTCTCACTGAAGGAAAAAGACGATCCCATATGTTCAGCAGAGGAGAATCAACTGCTCCTTCTTGAGGTGGGAAGTTGGACAGAATGTTTTCTGTTGCCCTTTAATTTTGAACAGAGTGAGAGAATTTGACCCAATTCATGTTTTTAAATAAAAGATTGATTTCCTGCATGCTTTGATTCGTGTCTTGAAATAACTTGAATCGATTCTGTTTAACTTTTCTTGTCAAATTATTTTTCCATTTCAGAGGTGGTTTTTTGGTGGTTTGGGTTTTGACATTTTTGGTTTTAAGGACTGCGTAAGAGTTGGCAGAATGGAACATTTAAGAAGGGGAAGTTTGTTGAAGTTTTGGATAACTAGAACTCACGATGAAAAAAGAGTCCTTTGTCTACGGTTTTGACTTTAGTTCCAGATTGATTTATAGCCTTGGCTTGGGGTTTGACCCAATTGAAATGTTCCTTCACCAACAGAGTGGGGTCTGGGCAGTGTGAGGGTTAGATCATTCTAGGTCACGGGGAGGTTACGGGAGGTCAGAGTAATTTTTGACCATTTTCTTTGCTTCCTGCTCAGCTAACTGTTGAGAAGTTTTAGGGTCCAGCTCTTTGCTTCTGTTTTTGTTCTACCTGTTACATGGTCTGAGATTTAAGATCATACAGGTCATGGGATTTATGCTTGTAAGACATTTAGAGGCTTTGCTACAGTATACAACTGATTGTAACTCTGATTCTATTTCTCTGTTGATGGAGATTCCATTCATTTGTATTTCTCCCTCCTTTTAATAAAAGATATTACACACAGATACTGAATACACAGACACCTTGCTCCAGGCACACTTTAAGTTAGAAGAATTCACATATATTTGTTTGACAAAAAATAATGAAGTAAAAAATAAAGTGATAGCGTAAGAGACTACAACTAGCTGTTTAAGGTCTGGGCCCATCTCTCTTATGGGCACTTCCCAGGTACTTATGCTTTTTAAGGAGTTGATGTTTTTAGCAGCCTTGCTTTGAACTAGTCTCCCAGCACCCCTTTTTCTCACAGCATAGGCTCAGCCCATGTCATGTTTTCATCACACTCAACAGTATTTCGGGCGTATTCATGACGCCGTCGCACACTTCACTGACCGCAGTCTAGTGTAAACATCATTTTCATTTCCACTGGAAGCCAAAGAATTTGTGTGACTCACTTTCGCGAAGGGTTGACGTGGAACAGAACGTGCAGGATGGATGTCTGAGGGATGGCGGTGCTCCAGTGAATAAGCCAGGCATGGCACCTTTCACCTAGAACCCTTAGTTGTACTTGGAAAAACAACAATGTGTTTGTTAGTTAATTATGGACATTAACCAGATTGTGGCAGAAAGTGCTGTGAGGTTTTGTTCAGATAACACTCTGCCGACTTTGTTGTTGGAATCCATCAAGGCAGTTCAGACTCAGCAGCAGCCCCATAGGAGAGAGGGGAATGGTCCCAGAGGGTCAGTTGACTGTTATCTTTCTGGAAGGGTCGGTATACCTTTATCTATCTGATCCCAAGGTCTTTTCTATCTTGAAACCACTGGTGGGTTAGAACTACCACCATTCAATTAGTGGGTGTGTGGGCTACCAGGTCTCTTCTGTAAAGTTGTTGGGGGATTTTTTTGTTTGTCTGGTTTTGGTTTTTTTTTTTTTAAAGGCAAACCACAAAAATCCAGTGCTGTAGAGTTGATTCTGCCCCCTGGCAGTGCTGCTTCAGGTTTATGAGGCTGTAAATCTTAAATAGGAGGAGACTACCCCTTTTTCTCTGGTGGATTTGAACTGTTGACCTTGTGGTTAGCAGTCAGCATGTAAGGTTCGCCACAGCTCATCTTCCCTCCAAGTTTAGTAAATAAACATATAAGCCAGTTCACTGTGGTGGAGGTGATTGTGACTGATGGGGACCCTCTGTTGGATTTCTGAGATGGGCAATCTTTGCAGGATCAGACCGCTCATCTTTCTCCTGAGGGATGGCTAGTGTGTTTGAACTGCCTACCTAGTGTCTAACATGTAAGCTTAGCAGCTCGCTATGTTGGACCCTTAGACTACCCAGTCTACTTCTTGTAAGGCTTATGTGTTTATTAACCATGGTTGGTACAAGGAGAAACTAGACAGGTTGGGTCATTTGTTCAAGAATATTGTTGTTGTGTGCTGTCAAGTCAGAACCGACCCATCACAGACCCTCTGGTGGGTTTTCAGAGGCATTTAATTGCACGGGAGGGGATTGCCCATCTGTCTCCAACAGAGCATCAGGTAGATTTGAACCACATGTCTTCAGTGTTGCAGGGCACCTTCTTAACACTGGGCCATAGCACTGTCTTACATCCCAAGTTTGTTTCATTTTAAACCCTTATTCCCCACACCCCCCGTTCTTACATGTTGCTACTACTGACCATCCCATTTATCCGTCCTTTGTTTATTTTTTCACTCAAATTATACTAAGTGATCATATAAGAATAATACTTCTTATGAAGTAGAACTAAACATGTTTTGTTTATTTGATCCTTGGCAAGGTAACATTCAGGCAGGGTTATGTAATATTTGATAGGAAAAAAAATCCTCAGCTAGTAGGACATTTTGAAATGTTGTTGTTGTTATGTGCCGTTGAGTCGCCTGCGACTCATTGTGACCCTATGTACAACAGCCCTAAACTCTGCTCTGTCCTGTGCCAATCGCACTGTCTCTGACACTCCCATCCCAATTATCCCAGTCACTGAATCAATCCACCTCATAGAGGGCCTTCCCCTCCTGCACCGTCCCTCCACCCTCCCAAGCATGATGTCCCTCTCCAAGGACCGGTCTCTCCTCACTACATAGCGTTTTATATATACCTTTCTTTTCTTTTTAGGTTTGTTGTTGTTGTTTTTTTAATATACCATCAAATCAAATCTGATTGGTATAGGAGGAGATTGTCCCTCCTTCTCCAGCAGAGCATATGGTGGATTTCAACTGTGTACCTCTGGGATTGCAGTGCAGCTTCTTGCCACTAGGCCTCCAGAGCTCGTGTACACACACACACACACACACACACACACACACACACACACACCCCACCCTACCTTTCTACACAAAGTAAGGAGATCTGATGGCATAGTGAGCGACACTCTCAACTGCTAAAACTCAGTGGTTCAAATCCATCAGTTGCTCCTTGGTTGAAAGATAGCCAGTCTCCTCCTTTCAAGATTTACAGCTTCAGAAACCCCATGGACTGTGGGCTTGAGGTTGCCGGGATGACACCAAGCTGCTTTTTCATTGTTCTCCCCTTCATGTAAAGTTAAGAATAATTTTCTTCCTCATCATTGGAGAAAGTATTTGCTAGTTACTTTTTCTTTGTAATATTAACGCCCTCAAATTCTTTGTAATAGTGTTTAATGATTATAGAGCACTTTAGAAATTATCAAAGAATATAGAAATGATGAAGTATATTAAATATTTTTAAAAATGAAATGATTTTATTCTTTTTTCTCTTTCCCCAGAAATCTTTCAGGGAATTTGTTTTCCTCATTATCTCAAGGAACTTTTGATTATCTTGGCTCGCTACGATCTTTGTAAGTAAGAATTTTGTCTTGTCATAGTTTTTGAGGTTTACTGTGTGATTTAAAGAGACTTTATGAGGACAATGTAGTAAATTTGCAGAAATTAGAATCTTCCTTGAGGACTAGCTTCCATGTTGAAAGACAGTAAATCTGTGAAATGAGTTTCCAATTGGGACGCCCATTTTCTCTTTAGAACAAACGCACTCTTATGCTACTCTATTTTCAAGTAAATAAGCTGGTAATGCTACTTTTGAATCGGTTTTAACATTTAGAAAATATATTGTTGCTTGCCCAATTAAATCTTAAAATATAAAATATCCCTCCTTACAGAGGATGCTCTTTAGAAAAAAGGATGGTAAGACTTGGCTCATTTGTTTTGGACATTTTATCCCAAAGGACTAATTGCTGGAAGAGAACATCATGGTTGATAGAGTAGTGATTGTCGAGGATAAAGTGGAAACACCAGAGTGTTCCTTAAAAGTGAAGAGGGGGAGACTGTCTCCAGGCTTTGGGAATATTGTTAGGAGGGACCTGTGCCTGGAAACTGGACATCAGGCTTGGTAATGTGGAGCACCAGTGGAAAAGACCTTCAGCGAAATGGATTACCACAGTGGGCGCAGCAAGGAGTTGAGGTTATGAGATGTACACACAGCATTTTGTTCTCTTGTACCTGGGGTTGTGTGAGCTGAAGTGAGCTCTGTGGCACCTAACGACAGTTGACAAAGTGGTGGGTGAGCAAGAGTCAGGGAAACCTTCAGCCAGCTCTATGGACAGCGTAGCCAAACTGTGACCTCAGACATGGTGGCACTCGTGAGGTTAGTGTGGGCTTGTGGTTCATTCTGTTAGGCACACGGTTGCCATGGTTCTGAGCTAACTCTGTGGCTTCTGACAACAGCATGAAGAACTCTTAGTTCATATTATTCTCTACATTATTAAGTGCTGTCCAGTTGGAATCGACTTCTGGCTGCCCTCATGGTGGGTTTTCAGAGGCTGTAAATTTCAAGGGAGGAAGATTCCCCCTCTGGTGGATTTGAACTACATGCCTTTGAGTTGGCCCCACAACTTTTTAGCATCAACCACCAGAGCTCCCTTTCTGTATTGTTCTTGTGTACCATAGAGTCAGAACCGACCCATAACTGACCCTCTGGCGGGTTTTCAGAAGCAGTTAATGGGAGGAGATTGCCCATCTTTCTCCCACGGAGCAACCAGTGTCCTCAAACCACGTGCTTTCGGGATTGCAGTACAGCTTCTTGCCACTAGGCCACCAGAACTCCCTTTGCTGTATAATAGGGATTTGATTTTATCCAGTAGCCTCTATCCAAGCTGAATTCACAGATTATGGCTGGTGATTGTAGGCATATTTAGAATGTCTGCTTGATGAAATCAGTATAATCGGTTTTTAGCTAGTTAAGAATTGGTTGACTTCTCCCCTTCTGCTAAAAAGTTTGTTAACTAAGAGTTGTGCAAAGTTGCTTTGAAGAATAACTATATTCACATAATATATTCAAGGTAAGAGATCAAATAATTTCTCTTGCAGTTAGAATTAAGCAATAATGTACTTCAGATTTTCCTTTGGTATAGTTCACAGCTTTAGTTTGCTTGGCTCCACAGTCAACACTCTTGGTACCAGCAGCCAGGAAATTAAAAGATGTATTGTGATGGGAAAGTCTGCTGCTGTTAGGAACCTCTCCAAAGTACTGAATTGAAGAGCAGTGGTGTCACTCTGTAGACTAAGGTACACCCGATACAGGCCATAGTCTTTGTAATCATTTGCTATGCATCAGAGAGTTGGACAATGATTAGGGAAGATAGAAGGAGAATTGATGCCTTTGGGCTGTGGTGCTGGAGAAGAGTACTGAGTGTACCATGGACTGCTAAGAAAACGAACAGGTTCAGCCTGGAGAAGGTGAAACCAGGCTGCTCCTTGGAGGCAAGGATTCTGAGGCTTCATCTGACATACTTTGGACATGTTGCAAGGAGGGTCCAATCCTTGGAGAGGGATGTCATGCTTGAGAGGGTGAAGGGAGAGCGCAGGAGGGGAAGACCCTCTGTGAGGTGGATTAATTCAGTGACTGGGGTAATCAAGATGAGTGTGTCAGAGATAGTGAGATTGGTCTAGAAGAGAGCAGGGTTTAGGGTTGTTGTACATAGGGTCGCTATGAGTCACAAGCGACTCGACAGCATATACAACTACAACAGTAGTAAAGGTTCAGTGTCTATTTTCAAGGGAGAATTCCATCCCTACAGATACCATTCTGTTTGGTGTTTACACATTTCGTTTCTTTTCCATCAGGTAAGTCCCGTTTCGTTGTTCTCATTGGGATTCAGTCAGCAGGGAGGCATTTAGCTAGTTTCTCACCATCGTGACGGACGTGGGTTTGTACTATTCATCACATTAGTTTTGATGATTGCATCTCCCTTCTGGTGCCGTGTCTGAGTTTGTCCAAAAGCATCCCCCTTTTGCCTCGCTCCCTGATTAAAACAAGCTTGGAAGGAGGGGTGGCGTCCACTTCCACAATAGCTTGCCTCTGGAAACCCTATGAACGACGAAAGGACGAAAGTTATACAGGACGTGTCCAGGACTTTTGTTCATAGCATTGCTATGAATTGCCTGCCACTCGACGGCACTTAACAACAATGATAACATATTGGCAAAAAGCTTAGCTGCAATCCCAATGTCACGCAGTTCAAGGCCACCAGCCTGAGATCGACAGCACCTAACAACAACAACAACATGTCCAAATGATAAGTTATAATATATTTTTTCTTTATATCATGAAAGTTCTGTTTTTCTATCATGCTTGATGTATTCTCATTTTGTGAAATTAAAAAAGTGCTGATACAGCAACTTTTATGTCAACACAGTAGAACATAGTCTGGAACTAGAAGGAAAAGTCATTCCTCTCGTGTAGGCTCTGCCACTTTTGTCTGCCAGGTTAACATGCTGTGGTGGCTTGGATGTTATTGTGATCCTGAAAGTAATGCCAGATCTAGTGCCAGCAGGCTCCCCTATGGTGGATAGGTTTAAATGCAGCTTCCAGACAGACTAGGAAGTGGAGCTACATATTTCATTCTGAAATAACATGCCTTTCGTCTTTAGTGTGTCATTTTGAAGACTTAGGAGCAAGGATGTCAGGGCAAAGACTAAGGTGAATTGACCCAAGATGTGGTATTTTCATTTCACTTCTTGGACATCTGAAAGATGGACAGTGAATAAGGAAGACCAACAATGAATGTTTTGAGTTGTGGTCTTGACGAAGAGTATTGACTATCCTGTGGGCTGCCAAAATAAGAAATATATCATAGAAGAAGCACACAGTCAGTGTTTTTCTCTGGAGTGAGAAGGCTGAGACTTGGCGTCACGTACTTTGGACATACTTTTGGCAAAGACTAGTCCCTGGAAGAGGACGTCGTACTTAGCAAATTAAGAGGATCCGTGACAGAGCAGACGACTGTCAGCAGGATGGATTGACACGGTGACTGTATTGGGGCATAAGCGCAGTGAGATGGTCAGGATGGTACAGGGTCGAGTGTGACTTTGCTCTGTTGTACATGGGGTTGTTTTCAGCTGGAGCTGACAACCAACTGGCACCAAGCAGTCACAACAGGCTCTCAGGACCTATACCATTTAGCCAGACTGACTGAAGGTGACCACATGACGCATTTGTAGATTGCCTTTGGTTGCTACTTGAGTGCCAGAATGAATCACATTTTAAGCATTTAGACAAAGAACATGGCAATGATCCTAAAAATGAAATTGGTCGAAGCTTTATGATCCAATTTAAGGGCCACATGTTTGTAAGGGGCCTGGGATTTGATAGGCAAAAAAGATTGGGATATGTATGGCATTTCAGAGGTTAGGATATCTGGTGCGTAAGAGATCAATGATGGATAGATTTTGTTGGCGTACTGACAGTGATGGAGCAGCCGTGTCTCAGGGCTGTAGAAAGCAGTGCTGGGATCAGACAGTCTGAGTGAGCTCATTAGAAAGGAGAACGGAGTCAGTGCGCGCTGTAAGCCGAGGGCTGGTCAGGGGAGCAGTGGGTGTTTGTCTCCAACAGGAGGCGCTGCTGTCAAGCACCAAGTGTGATTGCATTCTAGTCACTATATTCTCCTGCTCCCTGGTCTTTTGCACAACACAGAGAATTTCAGACGGAGTACCTCCTGTGTGATTGCAACATCTTGTGGATGCATCGCTGGGTGAAGGAGAGGAACATCACCGTGCGGGACACCAGGTGTGCTTACCCCAAGTCCCTGCAGGCCCAGCCCATCACAGGTGTGAAGCAGGAGTTGCTGACGTGTGGTAAGGGAGCAGCTCTTGGCCAGCTTTTGACCTGCTACCATATTTTCCTTGTTAAGATGTAAAATTCTATTTATACTCTGGAGGGGGAACTGAAGTACAGCCATTAATTTTAGTGAATCTGATAGTATTTTATTGATGCCAATAGTTAAGTAGGTAAGTCAGGCGGATTGGGGAGGAAAAAGTGTTTCTTTTAATTGATATTTTTAGTTATCTTCTCTTAGATTGCAAACATCTTTCTATTATGAAAGCCACTTTCAAAGAATAGCCTGCCACTTCAGATTTTTAATCAGTTGACAAATCAAGGTTGTTTTTTGTTGTTATGTCCTGTCAAGTCGACTCCTAGCGACCTTCTGCACAATAGCTATACACTCTGCTCTATCCTGAGCCAATCCCACTGTCTCTGATACACCCACCCTCATTACTCCTATTATGTCTGTCCATCTCATCCAGGGTCTTCCTTCCCTGCACTGTCCCTCAACCCTTCCAAGCATGATGACCTTCTCTGAAGATTAGTCTCTCCTGGCCACGTGCCCACAGTATATGAGACATAGTCTCAAAATTCTTTCCTCCAAGGAGCAGCTTGGTTTCACCCTTTCTATGACAGACCCGTTCATTCCCTTATCAGTCCATAGTATGTTCAGTACTCTTCTCCAGCACCACAACTCAAAGGCCTCGATTCTCCTTCAGTCATCATTGGTCATTGTCCAGCTCTCCGGATGCATAGCAAATAATTGCAAAGACCATGGCCTGGATCAGGCACACCTTAGTCTCTAGACTGAGATCCTTGCTCTTCAGCACTCTGGAGAGGTCCCTGACAGCGGATTTTCCCAGTGCAACTCATCTTTTCATTTCCTGACTCTTGGTGCCAAGAGTGTTGATTATGAAACGAGCAAGCTGAAATTGTTAACAAGCTCAGTCTCTTCTCCATCTATCCTGATGCTGCCAATGTAAGGGTTGCTTATGGTCCTAAAATCTCAAGATAAGGTCATCTTTTTTTGTTAATTTGAGGGCTCAGTGATAAAGACTTTGTAAAGTGTCCTTTAAATCACCATACTTAAAAGGTTACATTGATTGGACCCATTATTTCTACATTTAAAATTTAATTATTAGGAAATGATTGGCTATGCGTATAAATCTTCACACATAACCACCTGCCTTGGAGTCAGTTTTGGCTCATACTGCACCCTCCATGGAGTGTCCAAGGCTGGGAATCTTGAGAAGAGACTGCTGACAGATTTGAACTGTCAACCTTTTTGTTGGCAGCCCAACATATAGACCTTAAATTCCTAGAACTGGGAATTGGCTTACAATGTGTGATGCATCTATTTAGTGAAGTAGTATACAGCGCTAGAACATTGTGATTTTGAAAACTAGCTGAAGAGGAAGGGGGTAGAAGATTTCTCCTGGTGCAGCTGGGCTCAGCTCATACCTGAAGGCTGGTGGTTTGAGTCCACAGAAAAAATCAGCCATGGGATCCCTGTGGAGGAGGGTGGGTTCGCTCCTATGTGGGCTTGAAGTTGGATCCCTTTCAGTGGTAACTGATATAAATGGAAAAGAAAACAAGTACCAACAACATCAAAAGTACAGAGCCTTGCCTGGCAGTGGGATGTCCCGAGTCAGACTTTGTGTGGGGAAGTAAAACAGTTCTATTCTGCTGTTTCCTCTTCCCTTTATTACTGCCATTTTTGTTGTTTTACAAACAAAATGCATTTAGTGGATGAAAATGAAGCTGTAGGAAAAGACACAGAAACACAAAGTCACCAGGAGGAAAGCCAGCTCCTGGTAGGATTCCTGTCACTGAGATAACGCACATCAAGGCCAGGGTGTAACATAGTCACCCTTTTCCTGTGTCCTCTTCACGTTCATCTTTGTTAAAGTATCATTATACTCCCTAATGATGTCTTGTAACCTTTTGAAAACTTGCAGTAATACAAGCTGCCGCCTTTTTGTGTATGTATGTGTGTGGTAAATGGCTGCATACTGATCATTATATAGATGCAGCCGTAATTTATTTAACAACTTCCTCATCACTGCATCTTTAGGTTGTTAATCATTTCACACTTCCTAAACAATGCAGCGATTAAGTCAAAGGAGATGATTCAAAAACAGTTGCAGCAGTACAGACTTCTACAGGAAACTGCTAGAATTTCAAGCCGAATTCAGGGAAAGGACATGGAGAGAGGGGTATCACTGCTGATGTCAGAGGGATCTTGGCTAAAAGCAGAGGAGACCAGCAGATCCTTGTCTGTGTTCTGTTGACGGTGCAGAGGTGCTCATCTGTGTGGATCATAACAAATTAGGGATGACGTTTCAAAAAAAAGGAGAATCACAAAACACTTAGTTGTGCTCACGCTGTAAGCAGACATGAGGGCAGAACAAGGGATTACTTGATGTTTCAAAGTCAGAAAAAGTATATGTCTGTAGGTCAGCGTTCTGTCCTTTCACTGTAAGGGCGAGTATGGATGCTGAGCAGATCCCCGTGAAGAAGATGTCACTTTGAGAATGAAGGTGGTGTTTTTAGTTGCTTCATATTTCTATGAAAGACGGACAGTGAATAAGGAAGCCTGAAGCCAAATCACTGCCTATGTAGCCAGTGAATATTGACTATACCATGGACTGCTGGAAGAATACACCAATCTGTCTTGGCAGAAGTACAACCAAAATAATCACTTAAGAGGGAAGAAGGATAGGTCCCTGACATGCATCTTCCCAGTGCACTTCGTCTTTTTATTTCCTGACTGCTGGTGCTAAGAGTGTTGGTTGATTGTGGAACCGAGCAAGTTGAAATTGTTAACAACCTCAGTCTCTTCTCCATCTGTCATGGTGCTGCCACTTGGCCCAGTGATGAGAATCTTTGCCTTCTTGATGTTGAACTTCAATTCATATTGAAGACAACAGTCCTTGACCTTTTGCAGCAAGTGCTTCAGGTCTTCTTCAGTCAGTCTGCTGTCAGAGACCTCTCCAGAGTGCTGAAAAGCAACGATGTCAGTCTAGAGACTAACGTGCGCCTAATCTAGGCCATGGTCTTCACAATTACTTGTTATCCTTCAGAGAACTGGACAACGACTTAGGATGACAGAAGAAGAATTGATGCTTTCAAGTTGTGGTGCTGGATAAGAGTCTTGAACATACCATGGACTTCCAAGAAAACGAATAGGTCTGTCTTGGAGAGGGTGAAATCAAGTCTCTCCTTGGAGGCTAGGATTTTGAAGCTCCACCTCACTTACTTTGCTTACGTGGCAAGGAGAGATCGGTCCTTGGAGAAGGACATCATGCTCTGAAAGGTGGAGGACAGCGCAGGAGAGGAAGAACCTGGATGAGATGGGTTGATATGGTAACTGGGGCATAGGGGGTTCATGTGTCAGAATTAGTGAGACTGGCTCAGGACAGGGAAGGGTTCAGAGCTGCTGTACGTAGGGTCCCTGTGGGTTGCAGGTGACTTGAGGGCACATAACAACAACAACAACAATAGGGAAGATAGTGAGATGTCTTCTCATGCACTACAGTCAAGTTGTCAGAGGACCAGTCCCTGGACATAGATGTCTTACCTGATAAAGTAAAGGATCCGCAAAAGTGAGGAAGACCCTCAGGGAGCTGGATTGGCTCAGTGGGCTTAAATATACCAGTGCTGGTGATCATGTCACAGGATTGGCAGTGACAGCCCTTCTATTACAAATATGGTCACTGTGGGTCAGAGCTGCCTTCATAGCACCTAACAACACCAACAAAACAATGCAGTGATTAGCTTTCTTACATAACTCTGCACATTTCCTGGTTGTGTTTCGTTTGTCTGTTGTTTTTTTTTAGAGTAAATTAGTAAACATAAATGTATTAGAAAGTTGCAGCCCCAAAGGGACACACCTCCCTCCTCGAAAGGAAATAAGGAGAGAGGCCTGAACATTTCCTATTCTCTCTATAGGATATGTTGCTAAAATGGAATTGCCACGGATGTCAAGGGAACGGAATATTTTACAGTCTTCTAATGAGCCTGTGATGTTTGTGTTAAATGTTTTAAATTCATTTATTATTTCTCTTATTTTCATTGGAAATAAGCCATCTTTTTAAAGGAAACAACTGATTTCTTCCTCCTTTTGTCCATAAGGATTTGCCCTTGACTATGTATTTACTTCTATAATAAAAAACTGTAATTTTAATCAAAGGTAATGTTATTGCAAAGGTGTATTTTAAAATTGTGTGAGTCAGCATTTCGCTCTCACACATTCTTCCCCCTCCATATTTAAGTGTCATTAGAATTTGTTCTCCTGGTTGATTCTGGTCATTTGATCAGTGTTTCCATAACCATAAAAAAGATCAGCTCCAAATGTTAGAAGCAATGATAAAACACTTTCTCTTTAATTATAGCCAGTTCTTAGATGATAAATACATTCTATTCCAAGTTCTATTTTTAAGTCAAATTTGTATGTATATGAGTTATATACATTTGATATCTTATGTCATTTAGTCAAATGCTTATAGTCTGTCACATATAATGTTCCTTTTTATGCAAAGCATATTAAGAGAATTCTTGATGTGCTACAACATCTAATATAATTTTTTAGTAAAAATGATAATAATAATGTTTTGATTTGAGTTGCAAAGTTATTATGCACCATTGTATCAACCTCAAAATTTTAGGTTTCACAAAGGGATTGAGTTCTAATTGTGCATTTGAATATTGATATGCAACTTGCAGATTGCCTGTGGCCTCTTGAATCCTTACAGCCTTCTTGGTACTAGCTTTAGAAAACTGGTTGCTAAAAATTATTTGGTTTTGTATGTATACTTTTGGCTTTTTATTGCTCTTACTCAGGAATATTTGGTCGTATAATTTTGATTAGAATTGTTCTTAGTCTTATGCTTTGCGAGTCTAGTGTCTGTGTCCTGAGCTTGTGTTTCCCCGTCTCTAGACCCTCCCCTCGAATTGCCGTCATTCTATATGACTCCATCTCACCGCCAAGTTGTCTTCGAGGGGGACAGCCTGCCTTTCCAGTGTATGGCCTCGTACATCGATCAGGACATGCAGGTGCTCTGGTATCAGGACGGGCGAATCGTGGAAACGGATGAAGCTCAAGGCATCTTTGTTGAGAAGAACATGATTCACAACTGTTCGCTGATCGCAAGGTACCCTCTTTCAGAGGAGTTTCGCCCGTGGCTCTGATTTCGCCTTTCACGGTGGTAATGCTTTGTTGATGACTTCACATTTTCTTCTTCCCTTGTGTTATGACATGCACACATCTACTATTTCCTTTTCTTTTTGTCCAGTTTCTAGAATTTCATAACCATCTTTTAAATCCAGTTTTATAAGAAAATAAGAGTAAAGAGAAATTTTTAAACATTGGAGCCTTTTGATGAAAGTCTCAAGCACCAACAAAAATGCATATTTACAAGACATAGTAATATTTAGCAATTTTCTATTACTAAGTCTATATATTTGCTTTTAGGAATCCCATATTTGCAGTGTTTTTGTCTGGTGGTTAATGTTGCATTTCAGGGTAATGTCTCTCCTTCTGAGGAACTCTGTTGGCTTACTGGGAAGGAGCTTTGCTCCCAACACCAAGACAGATGATTCACATCCACCAGTTGCTCTGTGGAAGAAAGATAAGCAATTAATTTCCTCTCTTACAATTTACTGCCTCTGAAAACCTGCTGGATGGTCAGTTAGGAGTTTATTCTGACTCAGTCATACATAATACCACCACCACCACTCCACTACTATAAAACAATAGTTTACATGTTCTATCAACCTTGTAATTATGGTGGGCACCAGAATTCTTAATTTGGATGAACTTTATAAAAATATGAGAGAACTGTAGGCTAAGCATTGTACTACAAACCATAAGATCGGTGATTCGAACTCACCAGCTATGCCGTGGGAGGAAGATTAAGCAGTTTGCTCACGCACGTAAAGATTGACAGTCTTGAGGATCCTATGGGGACAGTTTCATGATAGATATCCTGTAGGACTGCTGTGAATCAGAATAGACTTGACAGCTGTATCTTTGGCACTTAAAAAGTGTAAAAGAAATGAATACACACACCAGCACACAAGTGCTCTTAGTTTAAGGAGCCCTCATGTATAGTTAATAACCTACCCGACTGCTAACTAGAGAGTTAGCTCAGAGTTAGTTAGACAGTGAATAAGGATGGCAGGGGAATGATCAGTGCCCTTGAACTGTGGTGTTGGAGAAGAGTACTGCATACCCCATGGACTGCAGAAAAACAAACACATAGGTCTTGAGAACTCGCAGCCACAGTGCTGTCTGGAGGCAAGGACGGTGAAGCTTCGTCTTACATATTTTGTACATGTTGTTGAAAGGGACATTATGCATGGAAAGGTGGAGGGTGGACAAAGGAGAGGAAGACCCTCAGTGAAGTGGATTGATACGTCTGCGACACTTGGCTCAAACGTGTCAGGCAGGATAAGTGTACAGGGCAGGATAAATAGGGTTCAGATCTGTTTATAAGGTCATTATGCAAGTTCAAGCTGAAGTTGAGGAAAATTAAATCAAGTCCATGGGAGCCAAAATTTGACTTTACGTCTGTCCCACTCGAATTTCAAAACCATCTCAGGAACAGGTTTGAGGCCTTGAGCACCAATGAGCGTAGACCAAACAAGCTCTGGGAGGATATCAAGAAAATCGTCCACGAAGAATGCAAAAGATTATTACAAAGGCTGAAGAAGAAAAGACCAAGATGGATAACAGATGAGAGCCTTGAGTATTGCATTAGAATGCCGAGAAGCCAAAGTTAAAGGAAGAAACCAAGAAATCAAAGAGCTGAACAGAAAATTTCAAAAGGCAGCTTGGGAAGACAAAGCTAGATACTATAAAGAAATGTGCAGAGAGCTGGAGTCGGAAAAATCAAAAGGGCTGAACTCGCTCAGCATTTCTTAAGCTGAAGGAGTTGAAAAACAAATTCAAGCCACAGGTGGCAATACTTAAGGATACTTTGGGTAGAATGTTGAATGATCCAGGAGGTATCAAAAGAAGATGGAAGGAATACACAGAGTCACTGTATCAGAAGGAATTGGCTGACACAGAGGAATTTCATGAAATAACATATGAGCAAGAACCTTTGGTGATGAAGGAGGAAGTTCAAGTTGCTCTGAAGGAATTGGCAAAAAAACAATGCTCCAGGAGTTGACAGCATACCGGTTTATTTATTTCAACAAACAGATGCTGCTCTGAATGTGCTCACTAAGTTGTGCCAAGAAATCTGGAGAACAGCCAGCTGGCTGACTGACTGGAAGAGATCTATATTTGTTCCCATTCCAAGGAACGGTGACCCAACAGAGTGTCAAAATTATCGAACAATATCATTAATATCACATGCAAGCAAGATCCTGCTGAAAATTATCCAAACATGTTTGAAACACTATGTCGGCAGAGAACTGCCAGATGTGTAGGCTAGATTTAGAAGAGGTCGTGGTACTAGGGATATTATAGCTAATGTAAGATGGATCTTGGCAGAAACCAGAGAATACCAGAAGAATGTCTATCTGTGCTTCATTGACTATGCAGAGGTTTTTGACTGTGTGGATCACAGCAAGCTATGGCTGACTCTGAGAAGATGGGAATCCCAGAACATTTGATTGTGCTAATGCAAAACCTATACTTGGACCAAGGGGCATTCGTCAGAACAGAGCAGGGAGACACTGGATGGTTCAAAATCAAGAAGGGGGTCCATAAGGGATGTATTTTGTCTCCATACCTTTTCAATCTGTATGCAGAATAGATCATCTGAGATGCTGGGCTGTATGAGGATGGATGTGGTATTAGGATTGGTGGAAGAGCCATTAATGACCTGCGTTATGCAGATGACACAACCCTGTTTGCTGAAACTGAGGAGGACCTGAAGCACTTCCTGCAGAAGATCAAGGACTGCAGTCTTCAATATGGATTGAAGCTCAATATCAAGAAAACGAAGATTCTCACCACTGGGCCAATTGGCAGTATCAGTATGGATGGTGAAGAGATTGAGATAGTTATCAGTTTTGGTTTACTTGGTTCCACAGTCAGCACTCTTGGTAACAGCAGCCAGGAAATCAGAAGACGAATTTCATTGGGAAAGTCAGCTGTGAGGGACCTCTCAAGAGTACTGAAGAGCAATGACGTCAGGCTGGAGACTATGGTGTGCCTGATCCAGACTGTAGTCTTCTCAATTACGTGCTATGCATCGGAGAGTTGGAGAGTGAATAGGGATGATAGAAAGAGAATTGATGCCTTTGAGCTGTGGTGCTGGAGAAGAGTGTTGAATATACCATGGACTACTAGGAGAACAAACAGGTTTGTCCTGGAGAAGGTGAAGCCAGAATGCTCCTGGGAGTCAAGGATTCTGAAGCTTCATCTGACATACTTTGGGCATGTTACGAGGAGGGACTGGTCCTTGGAGAGGGACAAGTGGAGTGGCGGCGAAGGAGAGGAAGACCTTTGATGAGATGGATCGATTCTGTGAGTTTTGTGGTGGGAATGAGTGCATTTGAGATGACGAGGTTGGCACAGGATAGAACGGCGTTTAGGGCTCTTGCACATAGGGTCGCTATGAGTCGCAAGCAACTCAATGACACATAACAACAATATGCAGGAGTGGCATCCACTTTCTAAACAACATGCCTCTGGAAACTATGAACTTGGAGAAATCTTATAGAAAGGCTTCAGGTCTTTTATTCATAAGGTCGCTATGAGTCCAGCTCGACCCGACAGCAGTCAACAACAACAACATGAGTTGTACTCAACTTGACGGCACCTAACAACAACGGTAACCATGTCCTTTGAGATGCTGGATTTTGGAATGATTACAAGAATCACTGTTTTATATGAATCACTTGTCTTTGTGTTGGCAGCACAGCTCCTTTCCAGTAAGCCAACAGAGCTCGCAAGGAGGAGAGACATTTTTTTATTTTTGTGTGTTAACCCTCTCTCTTTCTTCTATCCCCCAAAATGTTACAAAGTTGGCAGGAAATAGACACTCAGTTTTGGTATTGAGCTTGGTGAATGAAAGAAACCACTGATAACTCTTTTGGCCTAACAGCAGCCAGAAAAATTTTACTAAGTCACTGACCGTCGTCTGTAAATCAAAGTTTGAGCTGCTCCGCCATCAGGAAAAAGCAGAATGTTTCTCAGCTTTCTTGCTACACAGACTTAATGTCAAATTGTTTGTGTTATTGGAAAAGCATTTTCAACAATGTGTTGCTATCTCCACCCAACTTATTTGTAAAGATATTATTAAAATTAGTAAAGATATGATACCTTGTCTTTGAAGATTTGTACTCTATGAGTCTTTAGCAGAGGAACATTGCTGTTGTATTGAAGTGTAGCCATCAATGATTTAGGAGACTAGGAACATGTGCGTGAGGCATAATTGTGTTCATTAAGATGAGACACGCTTTATGTGTAATTGTCTCGTCATTTGTACACACGTAAAAGCAAAGTACAGCAGGGAGAGTTCAGGTTAATTGAAGGTTCTGACATTTGCTTTTCAATTAATAGGTTTTATAATAGAGAGTTATGATCTCATCTTGAAAATTGAATTTACTGACAGCCAGTAGGAAATACAGCCATTTTACCAACTGATGTGGAACTTTGCCCGGCAGAGTTCTTTTGCTAAAATGTTAATTGGTAACTTATTGAGTCTGTTTTGGAGGTTTAAGTGGTTATTCCTCGAGTTGGCCTTCCACAGATATGTTACTTTTTTCCTTAGTAGGATTCAGCCTAGTTCCTGGGTGGTGCAAAGCCTGCAGTTACTACCCTGAAAGTTGGTGGTTTGAACTCGCTCAGTGGCACCACGGAAGAGAGACCTGGCATCTTATTTCTGTAACGGTTACCTGAAAACTGCACAGAGCGTGATTCTACTCTTATAAACCAGGTTGCCATGCCTCAGAATTGACATAACAGCAAGAAGCTAGGGTCTCGCTATACCACCAACTATAAAAAGGGTGCATGGTAACGGTTTTCCTGTCTTCCTGCTTGAATGTTTTCTGCAGAGTTTAACTCAACTCCTCCATTAGTTTTGTAGTCAAACAACAAGCCTCAATGGCTCTGGTTTTGCATATGCTGTTCTCAGACCCTGCTGTTTCCGGTTGTCATTTTTTTTTCTGTAAGGAGAAGTTTCACCTGCCATATTTGTCACACAGCTCACTGCACTTGTTCACAGTCTTTTGTCTGCCTTCTTTGATCTACTGCAGAAGTACTTCCAGGGAGGGGCCACTTTTATTCATCTGCTTCTTAGCAGATAGGTGTATGGACACACTTGCTTTTGGTCATACTGATAGACTAGATGATGCAAGTTTCCCCTTGATGCTTAATTGTGTTTTTTTCTCTCTTTTTAAAATAAAAAAATCTCTTCACACAGTGCCCTCACCATCTCTAATATCCAGGCTGGATCCACTGGGAATTGGGGCTGTCATGTCCAGACTAAGCGTGGGAACAATACGAGGACAGTGGACATCGTGGTCTTAGAAAGCTCTGCCCAGTACTGTCCTCCAGAGAGGGTGGTGAACAACAAGGGTGATTTCAGGTCAGTGACATGGAAAGTGCTGAAACCGTCTGACTTGGCCTTTAACCCCTTTTTGATTTTCAAAGACACATGATTGGTCTCCTCCACTTAGGAGGAAAATGGGCAAAATGTGAGTAAGTACATGTTTTGGGTACATCTGTAGATCATTGTCTAGCAGTTACTGATTAGAACACTGAGAAGTTTCAGAATTGTACAGGGGTATGTGAAAAAAAAAACAAACGGTGGATATTTTTGCTTGAAACATATCCTAGATCTGTTGACTTAAGAGTGTCTTGAAGGTAAATCAGGAATTTTGTTTTTAGGAGTTTTGGGGTTTGGTGTTTTCTGTTTTATTTTGTGTTTTAAGAATATTGTTATTCAAATTCAGAACCATGACTTTAGGACAACATAATGGATAGTGTGTGCTATTTACGTGCAGATTTTAGACAGGCTGATAGTGTTTCCTGTTTTTTTAGTGGCTCTTTTATGGATGAAATTGGAGTGGTTGTGTATGCTAAGTTACTTTTGATGATTGTAAGGAGCCGTGGTAGCACAGCGGTCGAACACCTGGCTACTAACCAAATGTTTTGCAGTTCTAACCCTCCCATTAGCTCCAGAGTATACAGATGATGATGGTCTGCTCCTGTCAAGAGTGTTCTTGTTGTTGTTAGTGCTGTTGAGTCTAGTATGATCCATAGCGACTCTATGAACAACAGATCTGAACCCTTTCCTGTCCTGTGCCATCTTCACAATCATTGACATACTTAAGCCCATTGCAGCAGTCACTGTATCAGTCTTCTGGTTGAGGGTCTTTCTCTCTTTCATCATCCCTCCACCTCCCAAATCATGATGGCCCTCTCTAAGGAACAGCCTCTCCTAGCAACATCATGACCACAGTATGTGCAACAAAGCTTTATCATCTTTGCCTTCAAGGAGCACTATGGCTGCACTTTCTCCAGTTTCTCAGTCCATGGATATTTAGTACTGTTCTCTAATACCACAGCTTAAAGGCATTAATTCTTCTGTCATCCTTATTCATTATCCAGCTCTCAGACTCATAGCAAGTGATTGAAAAAGAATATGTGGCCTGAATCAAGTGCACCTTAGTCCTCAAATTGAGGAGTGCATCGTTGGTCCTCAATAACTTGGAGAGCTCCTTGACTGCAAACTTTCCCAGTGCAATACATCTCCTGATCTCCTTACTGCTGGTACCAAGATAACAAGGTCTGTCCCATCTGAACCTGTCCCATGGGGCTGTTACGGTTTGAAATCTATTTGATGATACTCAGCAACAACAACAAGTAGGAGAAACACATACCCCAACACTCCGCTCCCTGCATTCAGTGGTTTTGGCAACAGTATGATAAGGATTTGAAGATACAGATGCTCTGTAGCCTAAAGCTTGAGAAGCCATCGGAACTCCAGGTGTGTTTATTGTTCTCTGCTAATGTAGACGGAGAAGAAGGTCTGGTGATTTTGTCTGGAGGGATTGGTGGTTTTAGCCCAAAGGCTGGCTTGAATGCACCAGCAGCTTCTCAGGGGCAAGGTGATCAGTACCCCCAGTGCAGTTTACAGCCTCCTCAAAACCCACAGGAGGGTCAGCTAGGAATTGATTCTCACTGCACAGCAATGAATCTTTTTGATGGATTGTTTTTTTAAAACAAGTCTTTGCAATCACTTGTTATGCATCAGAGAGTTGGACAATGACTAGGGAGGATGGAAGGAGAATTGATGCCTTTCAGTTGTGGTGCTGGAGAAGAGTATTGAATATACCGTGGACTGCTAAGAAAATGAACAGATTCATCCTGGAGAGGGTTAAACTGGACTGTTCCTTGGAGGTAAGGATTTTGGGGCTTCGTCTGACATATTTTGGACATGTTGTGAGGAGAGACCGGTCCTTGGAGAGGAACATCATGCTTGGGAGGGTGGAGGGACAGCACAGGAGAGGAAGACCCTCGGTGAGGAGGATTGATTGATTCAGTGACTGGGGTAATGGGTGTAGGTGTGTTGGAGACAGTGTGAGATTGGCACAGGATAGAGCAGGGTTTAGGGCTGTTGTACATAGGGTTGCTATGAGTCGCAAACGACTTGACGGCACATAACAACAACTTGTTATTGTTGTTGTGTGTTGTTGAATCCACTACGACTTCTAGTGACCCAGTGAATGATGGGTCTGCACCTTGCCCTGTCCTGTGCTGTCCTCGTTGTCTCTGATATATTTGAAGCTGTAGATAGTCATTGTGTCAGTCCTTGTTGAAGGACTTCCTGTCTTACACTGACCCTTACACCTTTCCGAGTATGACGTCCTTCCCCAGGGACTGGCCCCTCCTAACAACATGTCCACCATACATGGGACGAAGCTTCACCGTCATTTCCTTCAAGGAGCACGCTGGCCGCACCTTCTCCAACGGGTATTTGTAGGATGAGTTAAATATTAAGGACTCATTTAGGAGAAAGTTTAAAATTTGTGAGAGGTAGTAGCTTTTGGGAGTTCTAGTGGCCTAATGGTAAGAAGCTCAGCTGCAGTCTCCAAGGTGCACAGTTCAAATCCACCAGCTGCTCCGCAGAAGAAGGATGGGCAGTTTCCTCCCATGCGATTAACTGTCTCAGATAACCCCCGAGAGGGTCAGCAGGGGTCAGTTCTGACTTGACAGCCACACAACAAGAAGAGTAGCTTTTACCTTAGATTCTCCTTGAGCTGATCAAAACCACTTTAAATTATTTACTTGGTGTTCTTGTAGGTTAAGGGATATTTTTTCAATAATTAGCCAAATTGAAATTGTTGCCATTGGGTCAATTCTGACTATGCTACCTCTGTGTGTTCAGAACTCTGTTCTGCTGGGCTTTCTAGGCTGTGCTCTGACAGAAACACGTCTCCGGGTCTGCTCTTCACTGCACCTTTGGGGCAAGTTGACTCATCAGTCAGTTTTTCAGCCAGTTGCAGTATTCGTGGACAGGATGCACTTGATCACGGATGTAATGAAGGAGAAATCAATTGTTTTTATAAGTAACATTGCTCTTTATTTAAACTTTCTGATTGCTATTTGGTTGTGATCCTATTTGACTCCCCCTTTAAGTTTCCAAGGCTGTAAATAGCACGAGAGGAGATTGCTCATCTTTTTTTCTGAGGAGGGGCTGCTGGATTAGAACTTCCAGAGAGCTATAGACTTTGGGTCAGCAGTGCAGTTCCCTACAGACAGAGCCACCAGAGCAGCTAAGCAGCATGTTGTTGTTAGGTGTGTCAAGTACGACCTACAGTGACTCCCTGAACATCAGTTTGGAACCCTGTCCTATCCTGTGTCATCTTCATCAGCTTTGACACACTTGATAAGCTGCATAAACACTGTTTAATACCCATGCTGTGTCTTTCTTTGGTTGATAGTACCTGTCTGGGGCTGTAGGGCTGTACGTGTTTTTTTTTAGGGCTGTACATTTTTAAGAATCAAGGGAATTCTCTGGGCATTCATTTTGAAATCCAGAGTGAAGAAGGGATGCACCTTTAAATTTAGCTCAACTAACTCATCATTACTCTTCGTTTTACTGTGCTTTGTCTTACTACCTGCTCCTTTTGTTTTAATGCTTTACTCTTTCACACAAATATATGGAAATAAGCATTATTATTACCAGTAGGTAAGTCTCTTATGTGGATTAAATATTGATCTCTAATATTTATAATGCAAACTTTAAGGCCAGACCTAGCTATCGTTTGTACTTTTGTTACACTTAACATCTTTTATGAGGATAATCAAGGGATGCTGTTTTCTATTTATGATAGGTATCTATTTTTTTTCTTAATAGTTTTTGAGTGCTTTACATTTTTAATGATGGATGAGAAGATCTAAAAATATAACCAATTAATGAATTATTTATCCCTTGACACTCCTTAAGCTATTATACAATTAAAATCCCACTGCATTAGTAAGCCGTAGTTTCTTGTTGCTGGATCTATTTATGCAGTTTTGAGTAATGAATTCTATTTGTTGTGACTGATACTATAATTCAGCAGCTCCGCTGTTACATTATCAGCTGTAACTTGTATTAAATGTGTTCAGTTTCATTCCCAATCTTGGAGGCATTAACAGCAGAGGTCAAATAATAAAGACGTCTCCCAGCTCAGTTAATGATGGTTCATGCCAAAAGCGTGTGTGGTCACATGTACTTTGAGTGGCTTGTACTCTGCCAAATTCAGCTGTATGCTGTGGTCTGGAGGTGCCCAAGACCACGTCCAGCGCTAAATGACACTAAGATTCAAGAGACTTATATAGTTGTACTGCTAAGATCTAGCCCAACGCTTTTGTAAGAATATCAGGGCCCTGAGTGGTGCAGATGGTTTGCACTTGACTACAGATCAAAAGGTTGTTAGTTCAAATCCATCCAGTAGAGCCAAGGGAGAGAGGCTTGGTAGTCTGCTTCTGTAAAGATCCCAGCCAAGAATATCATGTGGTTCTGACGTGTCACACATGGGACTCTATGACTTGGAAACAGTTTCACAGCTGATTCCAAGTATGGTTTTGTGTTTTGTGTGGGGTTTTTTTTTGTTATTTTTTTTAGGTGAAGCTACATAGTAGCTCATAGGGAGGACAGAAGTGCAAGATCAACATACAAAAATCAGTTGGATTTCTCTACAGTGACAAAGAGAATACAGAGCTGGAGCTAAGAAAAACAATACCTTTCACAATAGCTAATCACAAGATTAAATATTTGGCAGTAAATGTAACTAGAAGTACAAAGGATCTATTCAAAGAAAATTACAAAACATTACTGCAAGAAACAAAAAGAGACCTGGAGAAGTGGAAGAATATCCCTTGCTCATGGATAGGAAGACTCAATGTTGTGAAAGTGGCGATACTACCAAAGGCAATTTACACGTTCAATGCAATCCCAATAAAAATACCAATCCCATTCTTCAAGGAGATGGAAAAGGCAATCTCTGGTTTCATTTGGAATGGAAAGAAGCCCCGAATGAGCAAAGCACTCCTCAAAAATAGAAAAGAGGTAGGAGGCATCTCACTCCCTGATTT